TTTAAGAAAACTCAAAAAAACTTTTTAAAAATAATTTTAGCAGGCAAATTTGCCTGCTAGACGGTTTAAGGGATAATGGTAATCTTTGGCAGTTTCGATCAAGAGTTGCTTAAAGAATTTAGATTTTATTCATAAGTCAACTATATCAACATTAGAATGATTTCTGATATGCTTAAGGCAAATTATACTCATAGGATCAAAACACTCCAAATTATTTTTAAAAATGTTTATAAGGACTTCTTCTTGTAAAACAACAAAAATACAATAAAACCATAACAATATACTAAAGTTTGAAACTGATTTTAATCAGATTTAACATAAAAAATAAAACTGTGTTCAAACTTTATAATAAACACTTTGATTAAACTTGAATATTGCAAAAATTTATATTATCATTTCTCTTTCTTTTTTCACAAAGCAGCAATAAAGCAGAAGGTTCAGATATTCTGTAGTCATTCTTATAAAAATAAATAATATATATAATTATTAAGCATCTTACAGTAATACTGATGAGGTGTATGATGCTATCTCTAATAAAGTAGCAAAAACTGTATATACTAATTACTTTAGAACTTGTAATTGTTCTAGAGAGAGAGAAGAGGAGGAGGACTTTATAATAAGCTCTTTTCTGTTAGCTCTCTTGTTTGTTATTCTTTAGAACAAGCTATTCTTAACTTAATATTTGGTTACTATATGAATTAAATATAGTATCTTTACTAACTATATTTTAATTATTTAAATTTAAATAAGTTTTAACTATTTTAATAGATTTAAATTGCAAATAAATTAGTTTAAGTTTTTATTTTTATATATATTTTATATTTATTTATTATTATACAAATTAAATTTTTATATAGTTTTTATATAATAATTTATATAAATTATATAAGCAAAATCTTAATTTAATACAAAAAAAAATTATAATAATATTTAAAAAATTTAAATTGTTTATAAATTAAAAACAAATAAATTTAAAAAAATTTTAATTAAAAAAACTATTTTCAAATTTTAGCAACTTATAATTCTTTATAAGTAATTACTAAAATTATAATAATAAAAGTTGTGACCTGTGGGTCGATAGCATAGCAGTTATACTCCCAGGTTACAAAGCCAGTTCAATTCCTCTTAGTGGCGAAATAATGAAAAACTAAATATAGAAGTGAAACACTGCGGGGTACAGAGAACCCGGAATATCTACAGATAGACATATTCGGTGAATAATTATTCTAAGAAGCTGTGGCTATGAAGAAAGCCATGTTAGAACCCCGATTTGGAATAACCAAAATCACAAGACATAATGTGAGGTCTAAGTCTGAGAGGGTACTACATGAAATCGTGGCACCACCCGATTGGCTCGTGAAATAGCGGTCCATGAATAAGGTGTTTTGATCTCTCTGGAGTGTCATGCAGGCGGTCGGATCTAGGCCCCAATGAGGGAACCAGAGAATGTCAGGCAATGGATACTAGGTGAATAAAATATAATACCCGTATGAAGTTATGGAGGTTCTGTAACACTAGTAGCATAGGGTCAACTATAATATAGCTAGAACCAAGTCACGGTGAGACTTGCCAAAGAAATAAAAAAAAAAATAATAATAATAATAATAAAAGTTGTTATTTTTTATATAAACTACAATATTGTACTAAAATTATAATTTGTATTAGAAGTAAATTTTTTTTAAATAAAAATATATAAAATTTTAAAAAATTTTAAAAAAATTTTATAGTAAAAATTTTCAAAGCTTTTACTTTAAACTTTTATTACTCTAAAGATTTATAATAAAACTTATAGAATATATTTTAAATAAAATATTATATATAAAATATATCTTATACTATATTATTAATAATTTTTAATTTTATTTAAAAAATTACAAATACTTTTCAAAATTCCAGGCAAATTTGCTAAAATAAAATAATATTCTTATAAAATTTTATTAAAGTTTATTATCTAATTTTGGTTTTATTTAATAAAAATATTTACAATTTAAACTTTATTTTTTATTTACAATATTTTTGTTTTAATAGTATAATAAAGGTTGTAAAATAAATATAACAATTTTAACTATTTATAAAATTCAGCGGGTTTTATTTTACATCATCAGCAACACAAACTTAATACGCTTTTGCTTAGTTTCAACCTTATAAGTTAAATCCTTTTCTATTTTTTATTAGAAAAGACGGTTATAATAGAAATCGGCATTAAAAAGGTTTCCAATATGTCCTTCTATATCTACATTTAAACTTTCTTATAAAAATAATCACCTTTAAATTCTAATCCTTTATTTAAAATTATCAAAAACAATCAAGATATATACCGTAACATTAATTACACAAACTCATGATCATGAACGAGAGAATCAGAGTTTAATAAGGCAAATTATTATACATAAAATAAAGTTCTATTGGTAAGTATTCGAATTTAAAAATTAATGTTAACATTGTTAGGATTTGAAGTAAATCGGTCCTTATTATTGTGAAGTTTTGATCATTGGATCATTGGCGTAAAAAAAAAGTAAGAGGCACCAGCACATGTAAATGCTGAATGGAAAGAGACGAACGTGTCTACTGCACAATTTCGTTATTGTTTGGGGTGAAGCATCAACATGCATAGCACAACGATTCGATGCAATCATTTTTCATGTGCATAAAGGTATGTACAAGACCAAAAAAGAAACGGGGTTAAAAAAAGATAAAAATTTAACCATAAATTGCTAAATTGACTGGACGGCAAAAATTCACCATGTCACTTATGCCACTAAAAATGATATTTTTAAAAATTCTACCGCTAAAAAATTATAAATTACTCTTTATTTACTTTGAATCTCACGATGGATGAGACATACTATATATATACACACATATATATACATATATATGAAACAAAATATTACTTACCATTGGGATTACAAAAAATATGATCGAGTAATTTAGGATGTTCGAAAACACCATTTCTGTCTAAACAATATCCAATTTGTTTCCCTTTTTCCCATATTATAAATGGGCCTAGATTATCGTTGTGCTTATGACCAGTTTTCCCTAAAGTAAGACTTTAATAAGTAATGATGTGTGAGCATATAGTTAGTTCAATTGATAAAATAAATAAATACCAATTTTATTTCATAGCAGTTCTAGAATATAAGTTTTCTATACGAATCAGTCTCACACGTAGAAAAAGAGAAGGAATTTTCGAGCACGTTTCGATTTTAGCTACAGTAACATTCTTTTGTAAGATAGACAGTCTTGCAGCAACATTTCTAGATATTTGATATTTGATATTTGATAATTGTTAGAATAATTTATGAAATCTGCAAGTAGAAGCTAACTTGAACAACTTGAACACCTATCTTGCTGGAATAAACATAAAAACTAGGAAAATCCCAAGCCCCAAAACCAGAACACCGAGTGAATATTTAGTATGTGTCGGGATTATCGGCGATGGCCTTTGTACAAACTTAATCCGTGTGACACATGATGAAATGGATAATCAATGATATCTGTTCAACATCCCAAAATGCTTACTCAGTCTTTTTGTGTGGCAAACGCCAAAATAAATCACCCTGATTAAATATGAATTAAGATTATATATTATAAATTTTATAACTTACTTAAACAATAGAGGAAACTCACGTAAATAAAATTGATCCAAGAGCTGTGATATGGAACAGCCAATTATAAATCTACAGTAATTTCGTGGCGGTTCTTTATATAGAATAATTCTTCACCTTTCTTAAGTAAATTCTGGAAGTCTTTAATATGTTCTTTGGTCACAACGCTTTCTTTTCTTGAAAGTGAGATTGTTTTAGTTGTTGGTTTACCTTTAAAATACTAACGAGTTTGTAGAAATAAGTCGTTCAAAAAAAAAATACCTCCGATAACCTACATAATTGTCGAGTAAAATGTAATCACAATATATACTTAAATAAAATATATTATATTATCAGTATCAATACTTTCCTTCCCGTTAAAAAAGTACCTAGTTGAAAAATTGATATTGAATTCAATGGAAAGTTTAAATACTTTCGAAAGTGTGAATGATTTGGAGAATTTATCCAATATAATACCTTTTTCTTAACCATGTACAGTCCGTACGTACTTGAGTAATGAAACCTTGGCATCAATGATTTTGATAATCGACATGTAAATTATCATGTGATTTTGATTTTTTTTTTTTTTTATAGACCTTAGATTAACATTAACATTAAAAGAACATCCGACTGTTTCGGGGCCTTTTTTTCATGCACCTCCTTGAAAATTGCCGTCTTTCCACCATAAACTGCTCCAGATTTGGGGCCGAGGTAACAGTGATAGTAGGTGATAGTATATCAATGACTTAATCCAATCCGGAGAAACGGCCCGAAACATGTCATACAAGGAAGGCTTTTTATCCTGTGTATTTATGGCCCCCGAACGGCACTGCCCGTTGGGACTTTTCTGTTCTCACACTTTTTTTTTTTTTGCGGTCGTCTTCGCTAAGAACAAAAATACATAAAATAGATATAAAAATACATAGACGTGGGCTGGAATACCACGAAGCATAGTACAGCCTATAACTTTTTTATCCGTTCAAAAAAAGTACGATATTAAATAAACATACAAAAAAGTCCTTTTCAAAAAAAAAAAAAAAAAAAAAAAAATGCCACAACCTTTGACACTTTTGCGCCCGACCATAGCCGACGTGGTTAATGATGCACAACTTCTCAAGGCAATTGAAATTTTAAAAGAAAAAACGTCGACTTCAGCCTCTTCATTAGCAAGTGTGCTGAATGTTGTTAACTACGTTCTTGGCAAGCCATGCTTCTTCCCTGAAACCTTATTTGGAAACAAAAAAACCGTTGCTTTCGATATTAAAGGTCAAAGCTATGTAGTTAAATTTGTGACTTGTAATAAAGGAACTTCCGAACATAGCGCAACCCCTATGGATGTTGACAATACACGTCTCGGAAATAATGGGTCGAATAGTCACTCTTCCCACGCTTCCCAGTCGTCGTCTTCACCACAACTCTTACAACCTACTATCGCTGACATCCTTAGCGATTCCAAATTTCTTAGACTTATAGATCTACTTCAACAAAAAACTCAAGAGTCTCCACTCAAATTAGCAAGTTTATTATGTATTATAAAGGCTGTGCTTGATGACGTTGGATTAAAAGGTCGATTATTCCAAAACAAAATAAAGTTTTTACACAATTCACGAGAATATATGATAGAATTTCATGATCATGATTCAGAACATATAATTGGCGACGCAAATGGTAACTTTTCTCAAGATACCAATAAATTAAAGACTGAACACCACGATGATGACGATGATATGATGGACGAATTAGAAAAAGATGAGATTGAAACTGTTCCACACGAAAATGAGGTATGGCGCGCTCATATGCCTGCAGTTTCTAAAAGAAAGCGTAGTGGTGAAAGTCCCAATTCAGATGAAGATCACAATCCACAACCAAATACTTCTACCAAAAGACGATCAACGGATAAACATAAGGCGCCTCCTCTGAGTAAGCTAATATCGTAATATTTGTTTATTAAAGATAGCTATTAACCAAAAAAAAAATCTTTGTCATTATAGGCTGTGAAGCTGTTAAACGTCTTTTCACAACTATCACTAAAGCAACTCTTATTCAGAGACTCGAAGAATCAAAAGCTTTAATCTCGGCTATCAAAGAAAGTTATGCCAATATCCGTCCACCTGCTCAATCTACAAATTTAGCATCATCATCACGCCTAAACCTTCTATGTCATCTTCTTCAATCACCACCAACATCCCGAATTGATGGAATCTCTTCTAAAGTTTTTTCAAACTTGGAACTTTATAAATTATTTACTACTTACAATTCTTACAAAGAAGAAGTCGCTCAAAATAATCATATTGATCCATTAAATTCACCAAATAAACGCAGTCATACTTCACCTTCTTCAGATCCATCATCACCTATCACTTTTCCTACCTATTCTTCATTTATCGATCCAACAGTTACCTTACACATCAAAGAACAAACTGGTGGTAAAGAAGTTGGAAAGCACCGCTTGAATTGTGCTTGGAGGCTTAGCATATTATGTGAGTTACTAGGTAAAGGTGTATTGTTGATGACCAAGGAATTAAGTGGTGCTAAATTGGAACGAATTCTTGTTGAAGAATTTACAAAATTAGTAGAATTCTTGAAGAATTCAGATAATCATGATTGGGTTGCTAATGTTAGAGAAAAAATGGATCTGTCAGGATTTGACGAAGTTTACGCACCATTAGCTGAAGCAGATATAGATAATAGTTCTAATAACTCCGGAACTGTTTCCGATACCGTTGGAATCAATAACGATAATAATATGGAAATGCCAACAGCCATGAAATCTAACCTTGGAATCATCACATTTTCTGTCGATCACAACATTACACAAAACATGATCGATCCAAGATTGACTATTCCGGAAGAGGAACTAATGAACCATAATGGACACCACCATTACTCGGAAGTTGACTCGAAAAACGATCTTGTCATGAGGGCTCCGGGAAGTGTGCGACCGATCTCATACATCAAACGTGATATGAGAACCGAAAGTCAAAAATATTAAAAAAAAAAACTTGCTGGTAATATTGCTTAATACCAGCAAATCAATTCTGTAGAATTAGTTCGTAAGATTTGTTTTTGTTTCAATTCACGGTAGAATGACTTAGCATCTTCAAATCTGTATATACATTAGTCTGCATGCCGGAGATTATTCTTAGGTTATGTTTTATTTTATTTTATTTTACCTTTTACCTTTTTTCTCGGGGGGATGGGGAATATATCTTGAAATTGCAGCACTTTATGTAAGAGATGAAGTTAACTGTATATTTGTTTTTATACATATTATAAATCGTAAGTGCCTTTTGGCATTTTTTTTTTTTACATAAAATACCGAAAAAGCAAAAAACAAAAAAAAAGAAAAAAAACCAAATTTTGGACATTTTCGTTCAACAAAAATCTATAACAGTACATATTCTATTTGTTAATGTTTAACGTATAACCAATTATGCAATTAACTTGAGTGCTGTTAAAAATTTATGTTTTTTTTTTTTTTGTCCTTTTGTTTTTCTTTTCTTTACTAAAATCAAATTTTTTTTTATGTTAATATTTACCTTATATATTGTTAATGACCATATGTTGAGTGATTAAAATTTTGGAGAAAATAAAATTCAAGGATTAGTGCAATCATAGAACATTTTCCCAGGCAGATACGATTCATTTATTATAATAATTATATTTTATATATACTTCAAATATAGAAAAAACATTACAAATAGGTCACGTATGTCATTACCCTAATACTGTATCAATTAATGTTAAATTAAATATTTAGGAAGAATTGATCTAAAGTTCCAATAGTACGTATAATAGTACTATAGTCTTTGGCATTTCCGTTCGACAACTTTCCAACCTCATAAACTGCCCATGTATTGTCAGCCGTATTTTTACCCACACAACACATTATGACCGCTTGTGAATGACTGGCTGTTTTAATTGTATAATTACATAAATTTATGTGAGGTGTAGTTGTATCGTACATTTTGAAGCTTGGATTAGGAAAGTGGCCAATGCTTGGCGAATTCCATGCTGACAAAATAAAGTATAATTTTGTAATACTCGGTGGAAGGTCCGAAAGATTTGCCGTTATACGATGATGACCTTTTTGAGAAATATAATAAAAAGTATTTAAATTATAAAGTAACGCATCATCATATGCTATATATTTATTAAATACCTCTTCGATTGACATGATCCATAACGTCTCCGGAATGTGCCATATTTGGAACGTCCATATAATTGGTGGATTGATAATCAAAATTTCTCCAATGCGTATTCTTGGCATAAAGCATGCACGTGCCGTCAAGGTAATCACATCCACCGGCTGGATAACCCCAATACAGATCGAATGTTAAATTTTGAATAGAAAGTTCTTTGGAAATTGAACAAAGGAGCACTATAAGTTGAATGTGACTATCGGCGACTATGCCATATTCGCTTAGATATTTATGCACCCTTCCTGTATTGAAATTCTGAATCAAAAAGTTTTATGAATTTGTCATCCTTTACAGTATGTAATTCAAAGAAAATTACGAATAATAATAATACAAACATTTAATTCTTTGCCTTTATGAATCAACTTTTGTTTTGAAATTTCAACATTCGTTTTATTTTTTATTGCTTCTCTCAAACTAAGAACTGTTTTAATATTCTCAAGATGAAACGTAAGTTTTTCTCCGTTTAATAAAACAACATAGATATTCCCTGTTGCTGTTCCTGCATTTACGTTAACTTCATTTGATTCACTACTGCTTGAACTCGTAATTTGTGAAATATTTTCAATATCAATTCTGAATGGAGCTTTTTCCCAGGAATCGTTTAAATCTCGAATTTCTTTTGTTGACAACGATACTGAGCATTCTGGACATGTACCCGATTGAGATTTTAAATGTATTACTATGCACTGTAAAAAAGTGTTTAGAATATTTAAGTTTCGGATTATTAAATTTTTAAACAAACTTACTTTCAAACAATAGGTTGAAACATGATAACATTTCTGACTTATGGTATCAGAAGGAAATTCCCGAGACAATTTATCGTGTAAACATTTAGAACACTTCATTTTAAATAATATACAAGGTTTTAAAAAATTGTGTTTCTCGCGGAGACAGTTAATTATTTATCCGAAATTTGTATTCTGAAGCATCGCGTATCACGTGTAAATCTTTTTAAGCAAAGAATCGATTTTCTAATACCGATTGATTTTATATACGTAGTAACATTACACAACATGCTTCAAGAAAAATCACAAAAATTCTTAGGTACTTCATCTTTTAAGCTTTAATACAGTAATAATCTATTCTATTATATAGTTATATTTTTACAACTTATAATTTAAACAAAAAAAATGTTTATGGGCTTACTGAGAAAAGGGACGAACCAATTGACAAAAAAATTTTCTTCACAAAAAATCAATTATCTCGTGAACTATTAATCAGAATCGTATGAATTTGGTATCATTCGGTTCCTCTTATCGAGAAGAAACGAATGGCACCAAAATCATGCAATTCTAATCGATAGTTTCACGATATAATTGGGATCTTGGCTAGGGAAATCACCCTCCGAGATTTTCCGATAGGGAAAATTCGGAATTGATTCTATCCGAAGCAGTTTTGAAAATTCGTTGTGCATGTATTGTTTTTTGCACAAAATTAACAATTACTGTGCAGTATGCACAAAAAATAAAATAAAATTCCTGTATAAAAAAATTTTTTTGCACAGCATATTTGAGCAGAGTCCGAGGGACACTACAGACGGGTGTAAAATACCCTATTTTAAAACCTGTACCATACTGATCCGATACTGTATATTGCAGATTATATAGTATGGTATTCCTCCAAAAATAAGCACCCCGAAAGTAAGCACCCCCTACAATTCACATACTGTATCCCGAAAATAAGCACTTATACTGTATAATAGAAATAAGTAACCAAATATCAAGTCATTTAGTTATTAAATAAGCAACCTTATAGCAAAAAAAGGGTGCTTATTTTTCGGAGGAATACGATAGGTATTTTACAACTCTACCATATAAAACATAGCGGGCTTTACTCGATTAGATGATCGACACAGTATGTTACACAATATGTTCCACATAGTGGCGTAACGTT